CGAGAGTTCACAGACAAGCGACAGAACTTGGTACCTGCCACATTTTGGAGTTGACAACCCTAACAAACAAAAGCTAAGATTAGTATTTGATGCCGCTGCTAGAAGTGAAGATGTCTGTTTGAATGATTACCTGTGGAAAGGTCCTGATCTTCTCATTTCACTGTATGGAATAATGCTACGATTTCGTGAAAATAAAATAGCAGTCACTGGAGACATCAGAGATATGTTCTTGAGAATAAAAGTACAAAAAGAAGACAGAAATGCACTCCGTTTCCTATGGAAAGAATCACCAGATCAACCGATAAAGACATATGCTATGAGTTCATTAATATTTGGTGCGAACTGTTCTCCATTTGTAGCACAATTTATAAAAAATAAAAATGCTAAACGATATGAAAAGTCCATGCCAGAAGCTGTACAAGCTGTCTATAGGCAGCACTACATGGATGACTATATAGACAGCCTGGAGGACGAACAGACAGCTGCCCAGCTAGTAAATGATATCACCTATATTCACAAGCAGGGAGGATTTGAAATAAGAAATTGGACTTCAAACAATCAGACAGTATTTAATAATTTACCTAATCACAGTATAAAGTTATCTGTCTCATTTAAAAATGGTCAGCCCTATGACGGAGAACGTACGCTGGGCCTTATCTGGTTTCCTACCGATGACACGCTGGGATTCGATGTCTCATTTAAACGAATACCCAAGCTGATTATGACGGGTCAAAAGAAACCCACTAAACGAGAGATGTTGAGAGTATTAATGTCTATTTTTGATGTTTACGGATTTTTATCACCTGTCACAATAAAAGGAAAGATCATTCTTCAAGCTACATGGAAATCTGAAATAAAATGGGACGACGAAATAACAGATGAAATATTTATAAAATGGTTACATTGGATAAACATAATGAAATCTATAAATAGTATACGCTTGCCCAGGTGTTACACACTTGCAACTAGAGATAACGGGGTGCCGGCTACGACAACGAGTGTGAGTGAGATGCAAACTCTCGGTACACGTGCACCGAATAACCAGTCTCCGCCGGCGAGCCTACTGAATGTACCTACAGATCGCTGTCGGGGCACATCGCGCTATACAAACCTAGATTTACATGTGTTTTGCGATGCTTCGTCGAAGGCGATGTGCGTTGTGGCTTATTGGCGCTGCAAATACAAATACAAATACAAATACAAATATCTTTATTTTGCCTGAAAAGTGGTTTACAGGATTTTAAAAATTATAATTTATGTATCACACTTTTCACCAGAAACTGGCATGCAAAATTAACAGTGTCCATTTATTATTATAAGATTGTACATATTTCTCAGTTTCATTTTTATTTTCATCATTATTAAATTAAATTTAAATTTCTGGGCAAAGTACTACGATTACCTACTTCATGAATTAAAGTACTCATCAACAGAGTAAAAACACTTATTGATCAGCCATCTTTTTAACTCTCTCTTGAACATATTTATCGGTAGTATTTTTATATCATCCCGCAACTTATTGTAAATTTTTATTGACATACAATAGGCATTTCTGCTATACAAGTTTTAAAATCACTAGTATCCTGACGACTTAGGCGTAATGCCGGTTAGTCAGGGAGAGAAACACCTCAATGCCTACAATATTCACAATTATCTATCTCTTATTTGTTTTTATAATAATATAAACACTTTCGCTCCAAAACTCCCGCTGCCTACGTTCAATCATCCGTCATCCACTTGTCAATGTCACATAGATTACTTTGGCTCTGGCCTCTGACGTTCCGTTTCAGGTTACATGATTATTGACTTTACCATTTTTAATTAATGGTGCGTCACACGATAGTTAACAGTCGGCCATCCTGCAATAGTGTCTGGCCCAGACACATAGGTAACTGATGAGCGTAGTCATGCTTATCAAAGGATATAGTGTCTACAGGATCATATAACAAATACTAAACTAAATAAACTGAGTCATTCAACCGCCATTGTGTACAGATCGTTTTGCGCTCACTCTGGTTTAAAAAAATCACTAACGTAGATTATTGTTTTCACATATACTGTGTCATATATCGATAGAACTCTATTGGTATCTGTGAATTAATTGTGTTATCATTTTATAGAATTATAAACATTGTGGTATAAAATTTTAGTGAAAACAGTGAATACTGTCTTGAAAGACATTTGTGCGTTTCGTCCTTAACAACCTGTCAATAAACTTATGTGAGTTATATGTCATTGTGACCGCATATAGTACCACTATAAATTCTGAAACTTTGAAGCAAATCGAACGAGTATTGCAGCCGCAATTCACAAAAAATCGCTGATTGGTCGAGAAGGACCTATATTCCGTCGTCCGATGGACCGGCGCGTCGCTGCGCGGCGTTATATACCTAAATAACTAAAACGCTTGATTGCACGGACCTAACATCATTACATTGAGACCACAGCATAAATTTCATTTTATACCTACTACATTTTTAATATACAGTCAATATGACTTCTCTTTTTTTTATGTTTTCAAATAAAAATAAATAAATAAATAAACTATAATTAAAACTACAATTCAAACAGAGTGCAACCTACAATACAAGACAGAAAAGGGGGAAAATAAAAGTCGCAGATTGGTTTACAGATAAATAACCCACGGCCTATTATTTGAGGATATTATTTTCAAAACAGACTGCTACCTTACTCTAATCACCAAAGTTTTATGAAGAATATACCTACATAGATTTGATTCGACAAGAGCAATTAAACAAATGATCAGCGACTGCAATTCTGAAGACCGAGTATCTTAAGTATAAGAGACACTTATGCAAAATAATAATATTTGACTTTATATAAACTTTAAAGTGAATTGAGTGAACTCCAATAATATTTTAAATCACCAATGTTTGTTATAAATAAAAAAAAAAATTATGCTTGTATACCTACTGTCTGCTAATTTGTAATATTTATAGCAGCTACTGCAGTAGGCCTTGTATCAATACACTCTAGAATTGATATTTATATCCATCTGAGATTCGTGAAATTTTTTTTTTTTTTTTTTTTTGTTATATGTATATGCTGCGTGTCGTCATATCAGTAAGTTACTGTATATTCATTTATGTTACATTATATTTTCTATTCATTAACAACAATTTTGGCAATTATATAAGTTTGTTGTAGTATATGGGTAATTAGTAATGTAAAATAATTAATATTAAGGATAAGTTTACGTAATCAGGATTTCGACATTGATAAATAGGGGATAATATATATATATAATATTTTATTTTGTTGTGTGTATATAAAAAAAAAATTTTTTTTTTGTTTGTATACACGGGCGGTAATTATTGTATACGTATTCTTAAATTTACCTTTGAATCACTCATAACCAATTATGCCCCTAACTCGTTCGCCGGTCCGGGGACCGGCAAATTTGCTTGCTGAGGCATCAGAGACATTAGGATCTTTCCGATGGGAATCAACGGATAGCAAAAATATAGCGCCCCTATCCAGTCAATTGTCTGTAGACTTATCCCCTCCGTGGCAATCCAGCGAAGCTACTGTGCAACCTGTTGAAAATGAGATATATAAACGTATCGGTTCCCAACCTTTTAACCAACTAACTGTTCCATTAAATGCTGCTGTGGCCTTTGAATCACTCAACCCTTCTTTGGATATAGACACAGATAATAGCACCTGCCCCCTTCAATGTATTCAGGCTTTGTCACTGGACATAGTGACTATTTTGCGACAAGGCAGGACGGTTTCTGCAGATATGAGGAACCGCGCTATCGAATCTGCACAGCAAATAACTCGAATAGTGGGCGATTCCTTGGTAAAACGTATTGGCGAAGCTGATGTAGTTGCCAATGAACATCGGCGCGAGATTGCTACTTTGCGCGGTGAATTGGGGGATATCAAAGCACTTATTACAGAGACACAAATAGGTACAAAAGGAGATAATCATACTGCTCCCTCTTACCGTGAACTACAAAATAACTTAGTCAGATGTATCACAGAACAGGTGCAACAACTTAAAGACACAATGACTGCAGTCACCAATATGTCTTATGCTCAGGCGACTTCCAAGACTCCTCCTAAACAGCCACCCGCTATGTCTAGGGCCTTTTCTTCCATCCCTAAAAATCATCCGGCGTTGATCGTTTCTGCCAGAAGTGACACAAAATCTAGAGAGGAGTTAGTTGCGCTTTGGAAAAAGAACGTATCATTCAGGGGCGTCAAATATGCGCCTACTAGAATCCAAGCAATCTCGAAAAATAAACTTCGAATAGAATTTGAAGGTGCAAATCAAAGAGACGAAACTGTAAATAGACTAAGCAGTGTAAAAAATATGATTGTCGAAGCTGCACGGCAAATTCGGCCCATGATCATTTTAAAAGGGGTATCTAAAGACGTGGCGCGGGAGGAACTGGCTGAACTGATTACCACACAAAACGAGCAGATTGAGCGGGTTGTTAATGAAGAAAATGACATTAAGTTGCGGTTTATCAGAAATAACAGAAATCCCCATCTGTATAATGCAGTACTAACGGTTACTCCCTTGGTCTGGCGTGCCGCCATGAGAATGGGTCGACTTAATCTGGATCATCACAAGGTGCACGTAAGTGACTACAGCCCATTTGTACAATGCCACCGATGCCTACAATTTGGACATCTTAAAAATCAGTGTGATGCAGAAGAGAGCGCTTGTACTCACTGTGCACTTTACGGACATTCTTCCTACGAATGCAGTTCCAAAGATGTGGCTGACAAGACTCGCTGTGTTAACTGTATTAGCCATAATACTAAATTTAATATCGCTACTGATACAAATCATAATGCTACCTCAGCTAATTGCCCCCGTTTGCGAGCCATGAGACAACGTATCACCAATAGAGTTGATTACGGCTCCCAATAATAAGCTACATGTCATTCAGTGTAATACCGATCGATGTAAAAATAGCTTACATGAGGTCGCTCGCTCTCTCGTTGATGGTAAATACAAAGTAGCTATGCTGTCAGAACCATACGTGGGTTCAAGTAAAGAAGTTAAATCTATATATGGGCTCCAAGTTTATCAATTTCCTCAGGACCGCACTGTCAAGGCATGCATTATAATAGTTCCAAAATTGGGTACCAAAATGATTGGACTCGCCCAGTATTCAACTCCGAACATGTGTGTGGTTCGGCTAGACGACGGGAATCGCAAAATATTGCTGGTCTCCATTTATGTAGAACCTAATGAGGGCGTGCATGGTACATTGGACAGATTAGAACACTTTCTCAAACTACACCCTAATGATCACATAGTCGTTGGAGGAGATTTTAATGGCTGGCATCCTGTATGGGGCAGTAGTAGGAATAACAACCGCGGAGATTTGATTATTGACCTGATGAACGCCAACAATTTGTATCTATGCAATACAGGTTCCACTCCAACCTTTGAAACTGTAACTCATGGACGAGATCGTTCTTCCATCATTGATCTCACTCTAGCGACTGGTGATGCACATGACTGGGTGGAGAATTGGAGAGTTGATGTAACTATTTGCCCCTCATCGCAACATAACGCCATAGTGTTTCAGCTGGAAAATCAGTGTCAATTACCTGACAACAATTCTAGCACTTCCACTTACAGATATAATAGCAAACACGCTAATTGGGCGGCATTTAGAGACATCCTGCTTACAAATATGGCTTCTGAAGATATTATCAATACCGATTTAAACATCGTAAGCATGGCGAGATTGGAAGTAATCATCGAAAAAGTTACAGAGGTTATACAGCATGCATGTAGTGAGTCCATGCCCGTTAAGAGGGCAGGACAAAAGCCTAAACCTCCCTGGTGGACGGATCGACTTGAAAATCTGAAGGCAGAAGTGGTGAGCTTACATCGGCAAATACATTCTGCCAAAAGACGAGGAGAAGCACTGGGAGCTCTCTTGGCTGAACGACAACTTAAAAAGACCGAGTACGCTGCTGAATTAAAAAAGAATCGACCAAAAGTTTCCGAGATTTCTGTGAGCTGCAAAATAAAGAAAATGTCTGGTCACTCACCAATCGGCTTCTTAAAGATGCGGCGCCAAGAAAGCCGCCAACCACAATTAAGCTGGGTAACTGCTATACCAGAGATCGACAAGACACAGCAGATGCTTTATTGAAGCATTTTTATCCTGATGATGTACCCGATTATCTTCCTATTCACACTGACACACGGCGAATTGCAGCTACTATTCCTTGCACTAATGACGATTTGCCTTTTTCCACTGAAGTAATTGAGCAACTGCGTGACATGAACCCGAAGAAAGCGCCTGGCATGGATGGCCTTACGTCTGATATATGTCTGCAATTTGCGCTTTTGTTCCCTCAGTTGATAACTGACATATTAAACAGATGCTTATCGCTCCAGAGTTTCCCCAAACAGTGGAAAAAGGCATATGTGAAAATAATACCGAAGCCGGGCAAACGGGACTATACCGATCTGGGATCTTTCCGCCCCTTGGGCCTACTCCCGGTATTTGGTAAACTTTTTGAAAAACTCTTCATTAAAAGAGTAATTTACCATGCTGAAGGTAAAAATATTTTTTGCAATAGACAGTTCGGGTTTCGTACTCAAACGAGCACTATTAACGCGATTCACACGGCACTTGATAAAGTCAAACAAGCTAAGTCAGGAGGACAACTTGTAATAGCTGTCTCCCTAGATATTAAAGCTGCATTTGATAATGCATGGTGGCCGGCACTTCTTGCACGTCTCCAAACCATTGGCTGTCCGAAGAACATATTTATTTTATTTATTTATTTATTAAAACTTTAATGAACAAATACATAAATAAAGGTACACATGGCGGACTTAACACCTCGAGGCATTTTCTCCCAGTCAACCATTGGGCAAACAGAGATTCATGTTGGCGGTGCATTAACAAATTGAAATTCTAATCTAAAAAAAATAAAATAATAAGAAGATCACTTTAATATGATTAAATATAAATACATATGCGAATATACTTATAAACTATAATACATAATATGAATAAATAATTATACATATATAAATATAACTACATACACGTACGTACCTACACACATACATACAAATACACATACAATTATAAATTTATACAAATCAACAGGGAAATTCAGATACATAGAGGTGGTTGGGTGGAGGAATAATACTACAAGGATAACAGGAGCCTACACTAGTTCTGGGAAAGGTGTTTGCGTAATTTGGATTTGAATGTGAATTTTGAAGAGCTGGACCTAATGTCAAGGGGTAACTCGTTCCAGTGTTTAATGGCCTGTAAAGTGAAAGATTTAGAAATGAAGCTCGTACGATGAGCAGGAACGTGGAGAAGTAAATTCCTAGACGGACGAAGGTTACGATAAGAGATGTCCCCATGAAAATGAAATTTGGTATTAAGATACTCGGGAGAGTTAGGATCGTATAGTAATGAATAAAGAGTACACAAGAGACGAATAATTCTTCGTTGGCGGATTGGAAGCCAATTGAGCTGAGAGCGGTAAAAAGAGATATGGTCGTATTTACGGAGACCGAAAATAAAACGTATGCAATTATTGAGAAGACGATCCAATTTGTTTAAAAGGTCCTCATTCATGTCCGAGCAGCACACATCTGCATAATCAATAATGGGTAGTACCAGGGACTGAATAAGTAAGATCTTAGTACTGGTAGGAAGGAAATTTTCAAACCGGTATAAATTGCGCAAGGTGTACGTAACTTTACGACTGACCTCATTGACGTGATTATTCCAGCTAAGGGTGGTGTCAATCGTGAGGCCAAGGTCTTTGACATGCGTGCAGTAAGGAATAGACATTTTATTAAAAATTATCGGAGGAACAGACGTCAGGTTCGTTTTGCCGAGTTGTCTCGAGCTTCCCAAAATGATTGCTTGGCATTTGCTAGGATTGACAGTCACCCCGAACCTAACCGCCCAGTCCTCAATGTAGGCAAGAGCATCGTTTAACCGACTTACAGCTTCGGATATTCTTTCTACTTCAATTTGATAGTACAGCTGTAAATCGTCTGCGTAAAGATGGTAAGAGCACTTGAGATCATTAGTGAGGAAGTTAATAAAAATAGAAAATAATAACGGAGACAATATACCGCCTTGAGGGACACCAGCGACCAATTCGCACCAGTCAGATAGAGCTTGGTCATAGCGAACAGCCTGCCGGCGACCCTGAATATAAGAACGGAACCAACTAACGGCCGCGGAGGAGACCCCAAGATGAGAGAGTAATGCAAGAAGGACGTCATGGTCGACTGTATTGAAAGCGTTTGAGAAATCAATTAATATAAGGATGGTAACTTTGGAACTTTCCATGTCCTCTCTCACATCTTCAGTCACTTTGAGAAGTGCTGTAGCGGTGCTATGCCCAAGACGGAATCCAGATTGAAAGGAGCTCACAAGTTTGTTTCCAAAAATGAAATTAGAAAGCTGTTTGTGATCTACCGCTTCCAGAATTTTAGAGAGGTAGGGCAGAATAGAAATGGGCCGAAAGTCCTTGAGAAGAGTGGGAGATGATACCTTAGGAAGTGGAAGGACGAAAGCATTTAACCAGATAGAAGGGAAGGTACTAGAAAGTAAAGAGCAGTTAACAATGTGAGTGATCAAAGGAAGTACATGTTCAAGTATGAGAATAATCATGATTCTACTCACATCATCAACACCAACACAGTTGGATTTGATGGATGATATAATCTTACGGATCTCCTCGACGGTCACAGCAGTAAAAGAGAACATATCCGAGCATAAGCTAGGCCAGGAAGCAATTTCCTCCAAAGTGGCTTTTTTGATAGAAGCACTTAGCGGTAAGGGAGAAGAGAAATGTCTATTAAGATCATCTAGTGAAAAGAGTGGGACAGTATCGCTGGTTTGTTTGCACAAACCGAGCGACTTGAGGAACTTTCAAGAATTAGCCGGCGAAGCATTAAGCAAATTCGAATGAATATATTGGCGTTTGGCTGCTCTTACCATGTAATTACACCGATTACGAGCCGTTTTGAATGACGACCAGTTCTCGTCAGTACGATTCCTCTTAAACTTACAAAACGCCTGATTGCGTCTCATCATCGCCATGCGAAAGCCTCTCGTGATCCAAGGGGCAGGCGGTTTTCTTAGTTTTATACCATGCGATGGAGCATGTTTGATGTAAAGCTGGTGGATGCAAGTGTTGAAGTTGGAGAGCTTCGCATTGACAGTAGGAGCTTCAGTAACACAGTCCCAATTAACCGATTGAATATCTTTTCCTAGTGCCTCCATATCAATCCTAGCTAAATTGCGTATTTCTTTAATTACGGGTTTACGTTTAACTTTATTCACGTTATAAGTAACATATATTATGTCATGGCGAGATATACCTGGTGCCGGAACTTGACCATGATTGAGAACGAAATCAGGAGAGGAAATATAAATGTGGTCAATCCAACTATCAGGATAGTCTATGTTGGTATGAGTGGGCCCAGTCGGTAACAAAGTTAACCCTACTGAGTTAACAATATGACCTTGTTTACGGGAATTTGCTGTATCACGGATGAGGTCAGTATTAAAATCACCCATGATTATATTTATTTATTTATTTATTCATTTATTTCAGGCAACTAGGCCCATATTATAAATACCTTATAGACTAACATACACATAATATAATATTTAAAAACTAATACAATGATATCGTCTGTGTGATCACGGCACTGAAGATGGCAATCTGCCACGGTAGCGCCGATACACCACACCTTTCGGCCAGTAGTCCTCTTTCATGAAGGTGGGCAGCAAGTCGGTGGGGACCAGGGCCACAAACGCTTTGAAACTCGCGTTGTGACTCGACTTCAGCTGCGTTACCCTCAATGTCAGGTTACTCTTGGTACGAATATAATCGACAATGTCCTGCTCCTTAGTGGCGTAATGTAGACGGGACAGGTACATTGTCATGGTCGGTGTAGCAGCACGCAGCAGAAAGTTGGGCCCAGTGAATGCAGTGCCACAATGATTCCTATAGAGGACAGCGTGAAATAACGTAGAATAAGATCAATAATAATGTAAAATTAAAATACAACGCGTAATATCATATAGATAAGTTTAAAATAATGTAAATGAAACGAACAGTATGATATATGAAAAAACGAGCAATAATATATGTAAACAGTATTCAGTTATGTAAATATAAGCTATATGTTAAAATAACTATAACGAACTAGATATAAGTAATGTTCCTGTTATAGTTGTAGTATTTCACTATTGTTAAATGTGAAAATCGGTGTAAGTTAAAGATAATTTACCTTGTATTTATAAGAAATACTATTGTGATGATTATGTATGTGTACTTTTTAGATAGGGACTTATGCAAAGTTCACATGTAAATAAGAATTATAAGGGGGAAAACGTGTTACAGAGGTAATAACATCGAAAAACTCCAAAAGTCATAATGAAAATTAACTTTAGAATCGAGCTAAAAACACGGAGCTCGCGATAAGGTATTGCCTCCGGAATACGTAACCAACGAAATTTGTATGAAAAATTAAGTCGCTTTCCAATTTGTTGCTTGTTGAGTTTACCGTTGGTCGTGTGATCCTCTGTGAGATTCCGGTTCGCCGTCGAGTCTCCAGAGTGAGCCCCGCAACTGGTGCCCACTTGCGCAAATTGTTGAGAGCGATACAGTGCGTAATCCAGCTACACAAAGTGTACTTTGTCTAGCGAGAGAACGCGCTAGGATTGTAGACCGAATTTGTTGACGCAAATTCGTTGCTGCAATCCACTTGCGACTGTCTTACAGTGCGATTACCTGCCCTTTCAGGGCGAATTCCCTACTTTTCGGTAGGTTCGTCGTGGGGTTCCAGCCCCCACACCACCCTCTTCCACCCCTCCAGTCCCCTTTCCTAGTACATCACCCTTTCGTGTCGTGATGTCGCAAAGGGGCAAAGCCCCCAGGAAACCTCCTGACAGGGGAGCTCCCCGAACTGTTGTGCGTCGGGATTTAAGGAACCCGACCAAGCTGGTCCCCGCCACTGAGCTGGGGACCTTCCACGCTCGCCCGGCATCCAAGGGCACCCCCTCTGCCCTCGCGGGAAGCGGCAATGATGCCGCCGACCGGGAACCAGGCAGAGGGGAAAGATGCGCACAACCCGGCCCGTCTAAAAGAC